GTTCTTGAGAATAACAGCTACATTCGGTAGCAGAAGATCTCAATAAATTCACGTGAATTTTGGTCTTAAGGTGGGCAAAGTAGAAAAACCAACAGATGCTACTTAAAAAAATAAAGGACAATAAAAATTGTAATAAACCATGTAATTTTCTATTAAAAACCAAGAAATATTGAAAAGTGTTTTTTTTCTTTAATTTTAAAAGAATCAATGTTCTATTTCAGACTAGTTTGATAACAATTACATAATTGTTCATATTAAGGATTAGAAATGTCAAATCAAATTCAAGATTTGTGTATTCAACAGAAGTACTGGGCAGAAGAATTTACATTTTTAGGTTCTAAACAATGTATTATTGGATCTAAAAGGTAGATAATGGTGTGTCAGTATTCCACAACAAAGGAAAAGACACAGAATAAAAGCAGAAAAACATTGGCACTGAAGTTATTAAAAATTTATTAGAATTTTCTGAAAAAATAAAACAATCCTAAAATACATAAAAACACATAAAACATAATACTAATCAAAATACATTTTATATTTATTTCTTTATAAAGTAGATTATTTGTACTTTCAGTTGAAGTGGAAAGGAAATGCAAAAATTTTGTGAAACAAATAATGAAGTTATTTCCAAACAGCTCCATCCTCTATTTCTTGAAACCTCATCTAACTGCAACTGTCTGCCAACATTTCCATTTTGAACACAACAGTATCATATGTAGCATTGATTTATACTAAAATTCCATTTCTGCTCAGCAAAGACTTGCATGCATATAGTAAACACTCAGGACTGAGATCTGAAAATGTACAAATTTATAGTCCTGTTGGCAAGCAGAAAAGAAATTGAAATGATGACATAACATCCAGATTAATCATTCAAAATAGGTCCATGTGTTTCTAAGGAATGAGTACATTTGTGAACCTGAACACATACATTTGCTGCAAATCCAACACAGACAGTCTCCATTTCGGATGCAGGAAACCAGGGGCTCTGAGAATCTCCTCTTCCAGTGAAAATGAGACCAGTGTTTCCATGCATTTTTTTATCTTGGAAAAGTTGTGATGGCTGACATAGGGTTGAAAGGGTGGAGGGAAACATGCAGCTGAACACAAAATTGATTTGTAAAATCCCTACTGCTGATGTTCAGCACCTATAACACCAGTTATAAAAATAAGATGTGCCCAAGAATAGCTGGGACTGAGGCCAGAGGACACAGACTGACCCTCACCCACGGGGTCAAATCCTTCCTGCTTACACAACAGGGGAAGTAATCAGGTCTTGGGAACGCCCAGAGGCCACACAGAATTGCTGAATGAGGTCAGGTAAGCACTGAAAGATGATGAAGTGATAAATGCAGAACGCACATCTTCCACAGTGCATCCAAGAGATGAGTCTACGAGGACCGCAGTGTTGTGAAATTATATTTATCACAACTCCCTCTCTACGTTAAAGTAAAGGCATTGTGACTGCTATCACAGCAGTGTAGCTGTAAATGACTACTTTAGGAGCCATCTGGGATAAAGAGTTGAAGGAAAAAAAATTTTTTTTTTTTTTTGCAACCAGAAGAAACCTCAAATGAAGGGTAGACTGTCCCTAGACTCCCAGGGGACACTCTGTGTGTCTGCTAATCATTCCCCCCACTCCTCCTCCTGGAAGATAGTAAAACACTTCTCTGAAGGACAAGCAGATTTGAGAAGCTGTCACAGTAGCTTCTATTTTCATGTGAAGGGAAACTCTTATAAAAAGCTGGACCATAGTCTCAGTATAGAAGATTCCCCACCCCAGTCTAGCCAGTGCTGCTGTCACAAGCCCATAATTGCTGTAATTTGTAAGTTTGATATGGAGGGGAACCAATGGAAAACTCCATCTGGAGCTGTGTAGTTGCTGAGTGAGGAGAATCCATAGGTCTAAATTGCTGGAAGACCAAAAAATAGTTCCTTTCTCATAAATGAAATGTTTTTTTTTCTGAGGATTTTCAAGTAGGCTTGAAAATCTTTTACTCAAAGGTTTGAAAACTTCATCAGCAAGTCATGACTTAATGTCTCTATTTGCATGAACACACACAATCAAAACTAAATGATTTAAGTTTAATCCACAATTTTTTACCACTCAAGTGAAAATTATTTCTTTGAAAGACTTAAGCATGCATTGGATGACACATCCGTCTTAAAAAAAAAAATCTGAAAGCCTCATTTTTAGTGGATTTTATGCACTTACTTCTTTTGAATTTAGTAACTTCTTTCTTGATTACAAGCTTATCATAAAAGATAAAGCAACCAAGTAAGAGCATGATATATCTGCACTTAGTGCAAATGGTAATTGTGTTCTCCTGGATAAGGATTTTCAAGAGACTCCTAGCTTGCACAGCCATGCCTTTTATTAGGGCAACTAGATGAAAGTTGAATATTATCTCTTAAAATTCTGTAGTCTATTCAGAGAATCCATCTTCATTTTAATTGCACTTTCCTCTGTAGGGTAAAAAATTATTTTACAGTTCTTAGAATTTGAAGGTATTTTAGGGTTCAATTTTCTTTGAAAACACAGACGTGATAAATATCCCATCCTTCAAGACAGATGGATCTTCAAAATTCTGTTTAACTGTGAATGCGTTCTAAATATTTTCTTTTTCTTTCATGAAAGCTATCAAGACCAAAGGTTATTGTGAGGCTATTTATGGTAGTCGAAGTGCCAGTGAACAGAAATTATAGGGTCATATACATTTTATAACTCACTTTGTTAACATGGAGGAAGACAGGATGCTGCCACTGTATGTCCCTAATTTTCAAGGGAAAAGGTGATGAAGGCAGTGCTGTCGTTTAAATAAATACAGAAAGCCTTTTCTTTAGTACTGAAAAAGTTTTAAGCATTCACAATGTGATTATAGAGATTTTAGCTCTTAAAGGTTAAAAATTGTTTTGATTTTCCAGAATAGCAAACAAAAGTATTTACTTATGCCATTGCTAGTTGCTTCCCACAACTGTAAAATGTTGCAAAATGAGAAAAGAGCAGTTAGATCTATGCTCATTTTGGAATAAACACAGCACTTGCACTAAGGCTTATTGCAACAACAAATGTATTAGTAATTTATCCAGATTTTTCAATATGAATAGTTCTTTCAAGAACTTGTACAGCTTAGTAAAACAGAAATGTGTAGTAACATAAAACAAGCATCCAGATCTTCTGTGGTCTTATCATATTGTACTTGCAATTAATGAAGCTGTGCAACTCTGCAGCCCTATTTCACCCCATGAAATCCACGTGTATTTCTACACTTTGAATGAGCTCTCGCCCTCCTCGTGGGAGTGGTTATTTCCATTAAAAATCATTTGGCATTGAGTGCTCTCACTTTTTGTGTCTCTGAAAAACAAAAATGGCAATCAATCTGCATTTTGACTTAGAAACTAAGTTATGAGAAACACACTTGTTGGAGTCAAGTATGCTGAAACACAAGTCTCTGAAGAGACTCGGCAGCCACCAGTCTGGGGCAAAAGAGATCTCCCCATCCAAGCCCAGACAGCCAATGCTGACTTGCAGAGCTGCCTGCTCTCAAGAGTTGTCCTGCCCTGAAGCTGACTGTACTGCAATACTATGGGATGAGCATGACAGCATTTAACAACCACTTTACAAAATGGAATCATCACGAAACACAGCAAGTGGAAAAGAATTGGACTCTAGTGGTCCATACCCCCTTTTTATTTGGAGGGGTGGAAGATCAG